TCAACTTTCAAAATGTCGAAGTGTCGTCGTGTTTTGTTTTCGGGGGTGGTTGGACACGCAATGGGGAGAGAGGGCGGGCAGAGCCTTCTCCGTGTGTGTGTGTGTGTGCGTTGTGAATGTGTGGGCTCCGGCGCCTTGGGCCTTGGCAAAGTGCTAAATAGATTTGTTCTTGTCATTGTTGTTGTTGTTTCTGCTGTTGCTGCTGTGCAAAGTTTTTGTGTTGCTGCCGTTGTTGTTTGGCTTTTTGGCGATGTTGAAAATTTTAGTTAACAGTAAATTTTGCACTCATACAAAAGCTTTTTCACTACAAATGCACGAGAGTGTGCGTGTGTGTGTGTGATTTGAGTGCGTGTTTGAATGGCGGCTGCCTACAACACAGGAACAACAACAGCTACAAATTAGCAGTCATGGCAACGCCAGCGGACAACAGACAAACAAATAATATGTAGCAACTAAAGCCACAACAACACCAGCAATAACAACTACAACTACAACAACAATAAGAGTTGGCTTGGATGCTTGTTTGTACAACTTTATAAGCCAGCCAGTGAGTGCAAAAATTACTATCGCCATCGAGCCTAGACTTTCCACTATAGGCGCTAGGAAGTCCTCTGCTCTGCCAGAGCACCCTTCCCCACTGCACCATCTGAGATTCTTTTTTGGAACTCGTCGCCGTCATCGTCGATTCCAATTCTGATTCAATTCATTCTTTGCCATCGTCGTCTCCGGCCAGGAGACAGGAATTCGGTGCGTGAACGTGTGTTTATTTTTAAATCGAAGCAGCAATTAATTAACTCGACCCGTCATTACGCGCATCATTCGCATCGCAGCGCATCTGAGCGGCGACCACAGGCGCGTCGTTCTGCCGACATATGGACCTCCAACTAACGTCCCAACCATCATCCTCGTCCTCATTTTTGTCGCTGTCGCCGTCGTCGCCGTCGTCGTCGTCGTCGTCGGGGCCGGGCGTGAAGCGAGCACAGCGCCAGAATTTACTCAACAATGAAGTCGAACATTTAATTTGAATGAATTAATTTGCTCGCTGCCGCCTGTCTCCAGAGAAGGAGAGCTGCGAAATCGCACAGCAGAATGCGTGAAGCGACACACAGCCCGAACGGCGGGCGGCCAACTGGACAGAGTGGACGAGAGTGGACAGCCAGCCAGCGACCAACTGGCACCATTCATAAACCGCTAAGTGTCCACACACACACATACATATATCTATACACGTATTTGTTGGAGCACAGCAGAGACAAGAAAATCTGACATGCAACTCCAATTTTTCACTTAATTATACAAGTATACAAGTAGAGGTGGCCTACATATGTAAATAAATGAGTGAAGTAGTGTTAGGAGGAGAACCAAACGGTATTATAATTAGTATAGTAGGATTAGTTTCAGTAGAGATTACAAATGTGTCGCGATCTGCAAATCAAATACAAACTTTAAATGACAATTCAAGCGGGGCATTGAATTAACCACAGTTACTATGTCAAAATGTTGTGCAATAAAACAACTCCATTCTGTGAACACTGAAAACCAATTGGCATTGCTTTATTTTTGAAGGAGTTCCCGTATGCCAGATTTATAAATGCGTTGTTGAACCTGCAGTGCAGAAAATGTATTCTGAAAATAGAAGATGCCATTTTGTATAACGATTTTAACGACTTTTCAAAAATTCCCATTTTGCCATTAAGTGCGCATTATATAGAAATAAATTAGCCATTTTATTAAAAGCTATAAAAATGTGATCAAAATATTTCAAAGAAACAGATTCTTTATGGTTATAAAATGCATTATTTTCTTTCTCCTTCAAATATATCTAATATACAAAACAACAATCTTGTTTATTATAAACATAGCTTAAGGGCACATATCTAGAAGTTGTTGTTTACGGATTACATTTACAAAGTAGTTAAAACTATATTCTTAGAGAAAAACAATTCTCACCGAGATAGTTATAATGAAGTTGATCATTTAAGAAAAGTTGCTACGGGAAGTTTGTTTAAGATATATACATAGTAGCTAGTTAGAAATTTATTATGCAAATATATTTCTTTAGGGAGCGTTTGATGCCAAAAAATACGTACATGTACGTTTTTTAGCATAAAAAATCGAAACTGGTACTACAAATCACATCCACGAGTACTTTATTTAGACCCCTACGTACTCGTATATGAATATATGTATGTATGCAGCGACGACGCTCTATCGGATTGGTGCGATCAAGAAAGGCTCTGCAGCTCGCCACCATCTAGGAGCAGGCAGCTGAGTAGCCCGCAACAATGAAAGCTGCCGCGTGTTTCTTGTCTGCTTCCGTAGTTGTTACTGTTGTTGTTGTTGTTGTTGCTGCCGCTGCTTCTGCTGCTGCTGGTGCTGCTGCTGGCGGTGGTAACGCAATATTTAACGCGATAACAAGCCGCGCTTGTGCTCTGCACAGTGTGTTGGCTGCTAGCTAGCAGTTTCAGTTGCTGTTGTTGTTGTTGCCTCCGTTGCCTCCGTTGCAGCCCGCGTGTAATAATAAACGCAAACGCAGTTGCAAACATGTCGAATGTTGTTAATATTTCTCATCGCCAGTACAAATCTTGCCACATTTGTATGTATGGAGGTGGTGAGAGGCGGATTGAGTGCGTCCCGGGGCTGGCCATTGTGGCTAGCAGGCAACAGTAGCGCACTGCAACACCAGCAACAACAACAGCAGCAGCAGCAGCAATTTATTGTATGTTGCATTGAATGCGCTTTATGTGCTACACGCACTCCCCACACACGCACGACACGCAATAAAAAAGTGTTGCACATTTTGAGCGCTGCTGCATTTTGCGGATGCGGTTAACTGCCATTTAGACAAATGCCGCACTCGCTGTTGTTGCTACAATTGTTGCTGTTGTTGTTGTGTTTGTTCGTTTGTCTGTGTTGTTGTTTATTTGTTTCAAGTATATCTGCGCGCTTGTTGTAAAAGTTGTAAATGCAAACCGGTTCGCTCGCTGCACTCTCAACTGTGGCTTCATTGAGGAATTCAGCTGGCAGCAATTGGCAACATGGCATGGGCCCAAGTTATTTCTGCATATTGTAATTCAATATTGTCTACCAAAAGGTTGTAAAACGTTTTGCTAAATGACTTCTGCGAACTGTTGCGCATACTCGTGTACCTGCTGGATCCCGCTCGTTCCACTCATGCCGCTCGTCCAGTCGCCGCTTATCGATCTATCGCCGGTGCAGGCAACAGTCAACCAACAACCAACTTGCCACATGCTGTGCAGCAACTTCGACAACAACACCGTTGACGGAGAAGTAAACGAAGACGGAGACGGAGACGACGGCGTCGACATGCCGACGGCTGTTTGGTGCATTAACGGACGATTGACGCTGATATCGAACTAAACAGCAACATTTTCATGTTGGCGACACAAAAATATTTCCGCTTTTGCCACAGCGAGAGAGAGAGACATGTCCAGACCAGGGCTCAGACACCGACGGCAACTGCAAGAGGCTGAACTGAACTGAACGGTGTCTGAATTTTGCAGACAATTGATTCTACATGCAGCCTGCTCTGCCCTGAGCTCATCCCGTGGTGCCATGTAGATGCATATCGACCAGCGATTTTACATCATGTTGCAATATGTATACGAATGAGAGGTCTTTCTAAACGTACATACATCCCAAATCAGGCACTTGTCCTCTTGAAAAAAAAAAAAACACACACACTATTCAGAGTCTATGCTGTGTCCATGAAGAGTCAGTGTCGCGCATCCTTCTCTCCTCCACAAATTCCTCAAATATGGAATTCCAAACTCGTTCGAGTGTTATCAACAAACCAGCTGTCTCCCTCTCCACTCCCTTCCCTTCTCTTCTCTTCTATCGCTTCTGTCACGCACTTTATACTTAGTAAGTACTATCTGCATTATCACATTGTATTTTTACGAATGGAACAGCTGACATCTGTCGCAGCAAATTCAGACAAGTCTAAATTACTAAACGTGTACATAATTGTCATGTTACACTTAATCAACATTTTAATTCCACGTTTTATGTGTCACCATGTGAGTGTCAGTATGGCTGTGTGTGTGTGTTAGATTTTAATTACTGCTCGCTCGTGTTAAACAACAGCGGAGATGGGAAAGAAAGCTATAAGCAAGACAATACACATTTATGTATATACATACATACATACATAAGTATGTATGTATGTATATAGCAGACCCGTTATCAGCTAGAGCTCATGCAAATATACAAAGACTGAGACGGAGATGCCAATGCTTGCTCGGCCCAAGGGGTCACGTCTTCGGCACATGGACGCCGCTTTTAATGATCGTTGATCGCTCGAACAGAGAACCCGGCTCCAACGCACAATGGGAGGAATAATGTTCACACTTAACAATTAGGAGCAAAACTTAGCATTATTTTCATGTACAATTATATAGATTGGAGCCATATTATCAACGATGTTTCGAATACTTGCTAGTAAGGTTTCAAATACTGAATTAAGTCGGGATAATGAAGGTAGCACTGCAATCATGAACAAGACCAGAACTTAAACATGTATGTGCATGTCATAATTTAAAGAGGCAGTATCTTCCAAGAAGTAAACAAAAACTTGGCAATATTTTAATCAACAATCATCTATCACTATTGTTTAACGGAACTTATTCCGAGTTCATAAATCGATATTCAAATAAATTTGATTCGAGTTTGGTTTCTACATAGTACGATCGAGTTCGTCCCATTGTTTGCGACATCGGCTTTGATAACAGTTCCCATCTGAACCGAGTACAAAAATAGATGCAAAGCGTAAAACATGTACAAATGATTTGTTTAACATGATTTTTAAATTATTTCGGTTCAAGGGCACGAATTTTGGTCAATCAGTTCAGATTTAATCCGCATTTGTCGGATTTGGCTTGATTGGAATAAATTCCGACACAAATACTTACATATATGTATAATATGTATAACAACAACTTTATGCTAAATATTTGTTTTTTATTTTCTCATTCTAGCAGGCTGGACTCGATCTGAAAGAAAATCTTGTAGCCGGAGCTGCGCCATGGCCATATCCAATGTATCATCCATACGATGCCGCCTTTGCCGGCTACCCCTTTAATAGGTAAGTGCACAATATTACAGTGAGATTGTGGCGCCTTAGACTCTATACAATCAAAAAGAACGTATAAGGTGGTCCGGCAGGCGTTGGACGCCACATCAGCGTCAAGACGTGAGCTGCAAACAAAGAGGGCTCGTGAATTCGTGAATTCGGGTGCGGCATGGGGCCTACGGGGTCTTCTGGCAGCTATGCCAAGTGCGCGCGCAGCTGCATTCAAATTCAGGCCCATTTTGGGGCCGTACTACGGGTATACATACATATGTACGAGTCTATAGCCTGCAACAAAGTGCGTAAAAAGTAAAAGCTTGCATGCGCTGGCGGCCCCACCTTTTACCGCCCACAAACAAAGCACACATCGATCGCACGCTGCATATTAGCACGAACCATCCAACATACATACATAGATACTCGTACATATGTACATATATACAATTCCATTTTTATGCAGAACTTTATGCGCTTGTAATTGACCAACGCCAGTTGGAGCGCTGCCCGCTTCCGCCAAGCGCTGCGCTGCCGACGACGCTGACATAAATTTTTAAACACAATTGCCAATTAAACAATCGACAACATCCCGTCACGTCACGTTCGACCAGGTAAATGTGCAGGCAACGCATTGTAGTTGTTGTTGTTACTATTGTTGTTGTTGTTGCCACTGTAATTGACACTCATAACAAAATTTGAAAGTTGAGTCATGCGCAGCTCTTCGACGGCCGGCGGCTTGGACGGCGGCGTTGGCGTTGGCGTCAACATTGTCATTGTTTTTGAATTTGGTGCTGCTGTTTGCCTATCAATAATATTCACTATAAATCAATTTTGAGTTATTTCGTTGTGACGTGTATTGAACGCCGCTGGCGAATCGAACTCAGTATTCAATGGACACGCAAAGTAGCGCAGAGCGTAGAGAGGAAGGAAAAGGGGTTGAGCGCGGCGCATCGCCATTTTCTGCTACATTGTTTTGCATCGTCGTATAGTCGGTCAGACCGTCCGTCCGTCCGACCGTCAGTCGTACTAGTCGAGCATTATTAGGCACAACGAAGCGTCGCACAGTCGGACGTTGATAGCAAAAATTTATTCAACTGTCAAGTGATCAAAGGCAGAGTGGCTGTCGGCGCAGGTGTTTCGCACTCGGCGACACTTCGTATTTTACGTTTTTTTTATATACATATATATTTTTCTTTTTCATTCTCAAATTTAAATTAATTAATGCAATGCACACAAAGAGCGACCGCAGCGCTGTACGTAGCATCGCAAGCTGCGTCGGCGGTGACGGCAGGCAGCTGGCTGCTACAAATGAGACAACTATACATGGCACACATGGTACAGATGTGTACATAGATGTAGCGCTCAACAAAGGGGTTATAGTAGTACGGTGTGAGATTGACACACATACATACATATAAGCATACATTTTTAGTGTGCTTGTTAACTGCCCACAAAAAGCGATAAAGGGCAGTTGTTGACCATTGAGCAGCGCCCAACGTGGGGCCACAAAATGTGTTGCCCGATCAACCAACCACAAACTGCGCATAAATGTTGCCTGACCATGCAAATGTGTTTATGATGAACAAATGTTACGGGTGAAAACAATACTAAAGCCGTTGCCGGCAACATCAACGACCACATGCAGGCAGGCCCAGCCAGGCAGCCAGGCTAGGCAGCCGGGCAGTTTAACAAATTGCAACAATTGCTACATGCAACAAAATGTTAACGCAATTATTTAAACAACTCAACATCAATGCGACGACTAGTGGCAACAGCTGGGCCGTAAAAGTCGACGGCCTAGTCCCCGCCCCCACGCCAACAGCGGTTGTTACCGCTGCCGCCCTTAAGCAGCTCAGGCCGCATTACACTTTATTATAATCACCTGTGTACTGTTAGCACCAAACAGCAGCAACCCTCAGCGCATTTCTAACCCTTCTACTTTGGTTTTCTTTTGCAGTTACGGCATGGATTTGAATGGGGCCAGACGGAAGAACGCCACCCGCGAGACGACATCCACACTCAAGGCCTGGCTAAACGAGCACAAGAAGAATCCATACCCCACAAAGGGCGAGAAAATAATGCTGGCCATTATCACGAAAATGACGCTCACGCAGGTGTCGACCTGGTTTGCGAATGCGAGAAGAAGACTGAAAAAGGAAAATAAAATGACATGGGAGCCCAGAAATCGAGTTGACGACGATGATGCCAATATTGACGACGACGACGATAAAAATACAGAGGACAACGACTTGCTAGGTAAGTGGAGACCGCCTTCAATGATTGTTAAAAACATTTTCTTAAACTGCAGTCCTTCTCAATCAAATTTAATTCAAGCTTTGGAAACTAAACAGATCATGTCATTCATTTCGCCAAAGCTGATTTTACTTCCGCCTTTAACAAAACAGATTTATTCGCAACGCTAATGATTTGACTGTTTTTTTTTTTTTTTCAATTGCAGATGCTAAAGACTCTGGACTCGGTTCGAACGAGGACAAGGACCGCTCTGGGCGTCTAGGTGACATGCTGACAGACCGGCCCGGAGAGAGCAACAACAGTGAGTGGTCTGAGTCACGACCAGGATCGCCTAACGGCTCGCCCGATCTTTATGATCGCCCTGGCGGTATGCCTCCCGGTGCTCACCCACTGTTTCATCCTGCGGCACTTCATCATCACTTTCGGCCGCCAGCGGGTTCTCCACCCGATATTGCAGCCTACCACCACCATCAACAGCAGCTGCTGCAGCAGCACCATCAGGCACAGCAGAACTCGTTGCAAACTCCTGTCGGTGCGACTGGAGCAAGCATGACGGCAAAGCCACGCATCTGGTCGTTGGCCGACATGGCCTCAAAGGACGGTAAGGAGTCAGCACCCAAGGAAAACTCACCGGGAAGTGACTTGCCACCTACTCATCCGGCATTCTACGGTCATCCAAGCCAGCATCCCTCGCCGGGTAAGATACTCTCACCATTGGCGGCACGCCTACCACATCCCTATGTGAGGCCGGACCTATACCGAGGCTTTTACGGACCAGCTGCAGCGGCAGCTGCACATTTAAGTGCGCCAACGCAAGAATTTTTGGAACATCAGCGCAATTTCGGTGCTAGTCTAGCTGCCCACAATGGCTTGAGCATGAATCCGTTGCTGTGGAAGGCAGCTGTGTCCGGCGCGGCCAGCGGCCCTCATTTCGCCCCCCTCAGTTTAACCACGTCCGGCAATCCAGGACCTCAGCAGGTGGCCCCACCAGCCGGCGCTTCCCCCTCCGCATCGAGCACCTCCTCCTCCATTGGCTGTAGCGCTCCATCTGCGGGCCAGCATATGATTGGGCCCATCTCCAGCAACTCCACCGCCTCCTCGTCCTCCTCAAACTCTGGTAAGATCTCGCCGGGCGTGAACGTGACCTCTCTCAGTGACAAGCCATGACATCCATCGCCACCGGCCTCAGCATCCACGTCCCCTGAGCCATACGCCCTGCCGCCGGCCCTGGTTAACGTGACAACCCCATCTCCCATATCAGCCTTCCGCTCGCTGATTGCCTTCCGGGAGCAGCATCTGCAACAGCAGACGCCGAAACTGACACTGCTGCAGCCGTAACCGAACAGACACTAAGCTGAATGTGCGGCGACCAGTAAAACGCTGCACTCGGACCCTGGGGCAAGGACAAAGGCACTGAACTTTCGGACAATAATTTAATGTGATTTTTCGGTATTTTGAGTAAACGCCGCTTACACCAAATAGCAAGTACCCGCCCGCTGCCCGCTGCTCGCTACCCTCAGCGCCACTCTGGCGCCCGGCCAGAGAACAAACAACCCGCAGCCACCTCCAAGGACATTGTGCAATTTGTGGGAGTGAAAATCCTGAAACCAATTGAAAATACATTAACGAAAACACACACATACACACACAACTTATGCAATCAGAGCTTATAGAACGTAAATTTGTAAGAGTTAGTGAAAATGACCCCCCATGAACACAGGACATGCACACGAGTCACCAAATACCCACGAGACTTTCGTTCACTAGACGCACAAACCTCCTTTTCCCCACCTTCTTCGCATAAAGCTCTAAGTCGCTTCACAATTCCAGTTTGCACTCAGACTCAGAAGATAAAACCGAGTTGAACTTTTGTAATTAATTTTGCGTCGGCATCTTAGAAGTCGAAGTCGATGCCAACGTCGTCAACCAATCTATTCGCCTGTATATAATTTTATATACTATATATATAAAGTGGCTTATTCCGGCATATTTTGTGAGCCTCTTCTGTAAGTGAGCACAAAACATATCAACCATGACGACCGAATTCAAAACCCCGCGACCCCGAATCAGGCATCTCGTCTGCGAGCCTCACCGCCCCATCCAAACCAAATAGGCGCGAGCAATGATTGATTTTAGTTGTTTAGGTTGTTTTTCTCGTTTTAAGTTAACAATTTGTTCCTGTCGTTTGTAAATTTAATTTATTGCATTATGTATAATCGCCTCTATATGTATATGAACAATGATGCAAGACCGGCGATTCATGTTCATGTATTTGGACACAAATAATTTCTGTACTTTATGCACAAACATTTATACTTAGGGTTAGTTATAAGTTCGTCTAGTTGTAGCGCCAAAAGCGGATCGTGTATATTAACAATAACTGAATAAATGCTGTAAATAAAAGATATGCAAATAAAAACCAACAATGAGATACAAAACGAACAAGCTCTTATTTAACGAACACAATTTTCATGGAAAATGGGGCGAATTTAAATGAAGAACTGCTTTGTACTTTTCCATACTTATATAGTATATGGTCTAAAGCTAGGTCTGCACCAGTTCTTAAGATAATACAATTACATAGAACCAAAAAAGAACACTGCAGCTACAAGCTCTACTTGCCTAGGTCCACAAGAAGGCGATGGCAAACAATTATACAACATTAATATCTGGAAATTGTAACAGGACTACAAATACATACATCAGTTAGTTGTAAAGAAATTAATATTCAATTGTATAAATAAATTAAAGATGAATTCGAAAATATGAAGTGGTTGTTGTTTTTTCTCTCATTTTTTTCATTGGGGCGTGCTTAATTTTGTAAGTATTTTCCTAAATTTAAAAAGAATAAATGCGTCAACCAGAAAGTGCCGCTCTATTTTTACAAATTTATTTTATTTTTGTAGAACTTGCCAGGCACCCATTTTTGTTCTTCAATTTTAATTGGAACAACATTACAGTAGACCTTTAAATTGTAGTAACTTATTTAGAAAGGCTGACGGTAATATACATATGGAGACTGTGGAGATAATTAAATTTTGATATTTTTGTTATATAAGATACCTTTCCTATGTTATTTGTTAATGAAGATACCTTTGAGGTTGACCTCGGCGGAATATTTCATATACGATTAGATATCATAGGAACGATTGGTCCAACACAGTTTATTTTAGTTGAAGAATTGCGGAGGGGAGAGACAGGTGGATACCAGATGTACAAGAGTGGAGCCTACGTTGAGATTCATTTATATAGCTCAAAATCTGGGAGTGGTAGTATTCAGAAAAGAAAGAAAGTAAGAGTGATTTCTATATACAAGTATTGCGTCAAAGACGTTTAATTTATCTCTATATATTAATAAAAATATTCCGGTGGATACAAATATTCAGGATATTGATATATATATATTTTTCAATTTGTTCCTAAGGGGACAATCGTTAAATTTTTCAATAATACCGTGACATTTTCGATATTTATGTTTTTATTTTGGAGTGGAACGCAGCTTTTCTAAAGGCATGTTCTAACAGGTGAAGTCTCTTGAGTCTTTTGTTGGTGGTAGTGTTGTTTTATTTTTATTATTATAATTATCATGTTGAGAATAGGCGTTCATTATTGGGCATAACACGACGGTTTTGATATTTCCATATATGAGACTACTTTTACAGAAGACTGTAAATAATTTTTTTAAAATCATGCTTTTTATGTGATGATGCTATTCCGTGAATCGAACCAAGTCATACTCCGAAAACGAACTCACAATATGGGATTCCCTTTAGCTCGTACAGCTATGCCAGGCCCCAATACTTACGTAGTTTTATGGCCAATTTCTTTTGGTAGTCGTTCAATTGTTTACGCTTAGCAACAATGTGGGGCTTTCCAGTGCCAGATCTTTGATACATTTTCGAGATTATGAAGAATATAGGCTTAATAGGTATGTCAGTCTGGTCCTCGGTTTGATACTACGCAGAGCAAACTCTCACCTATATTTTTAAAATATTATTCAACTTAGTGTCAAAAAAAAAAAAAAAATATTTAATTGTAATAAATGAAATAACTGTATTAGATTAAGATTTTACTACTTATCGTAAGTCTCCTAGAGAGAAGATCCGATAAAAAAAAGATTTAAAAAAAAAAAAACTTAGTGTCATAATAAGAATCGAGTCTGGCTATAAATGGCAAATTTTTACGAACATTTTGTACAACCTTTGGAACGGATCAGATACATATTTAGAAATACTATATATGTCACCTATCTTTCTAAAATATTATTCAAACGGAATAACATTAAGAATGGACTCTGGCTGTAAATGAAACATTTATACGAACGTTTTGCATAACCTTTGAGCCGCCTCAGATACATATTTAGGTATACAATATCTCTATATGCTAATAGAATCGGTGATAAACGAATGCGCCTATCTGTGAGGGAACCGTGTTTCTACATCTTCAACACACTCGTCCACTACAACGTGCCCATATGAATCATAATTCAGGAACATGGCAATTACATTGGTCTTTATGTACACTTATGTATGTATGTATGTATGTATGTACCCGTCGATGTGTGCTGCCACTTGCAGTCGAAATCGGCGCAATATACGGTATTAATTCATCATCATGTACCTCCACGCAGTCTGGCCACATGACAGGACTATGCCGACCTCCAAGCACATAGTAAAACGCGAGTAATAAACTCATATTTTGATGTCCTTCCGCCAACTTGGACGGGCAGGGAACACAAACATCATTATAAGAAAAAGAATGACAAAGGGACAAGTCTGTGGAAAAAAGCAAAAAGAACAACAACAACAAGAATAATACACGCACATACATCGGCAACAAAAAAAATTGATTTTGATTTATGAAGATCTCCCAAGCGAGCACTCGAACTACATTGATTCGACTGGAGCTGGGCATTGGTTCTGGCCGCATGCCAAGTCGATGAGACTGAGTTCCTGTGTTCTCGTTGTTTCAAGTTGTTTGCGATTGTCATATTGCGAATCATGTTGAAATACACACTGATTGTACAAACAGATACAGATACAAATACAAATACAATTGAGGATACATGTACCTTGTGCGGATACTGAAGTCGTGAAGAGCCAAAGTCAAGGAACATTTCATTGCTAATAATTTTTTGAGGCGGGCAACTTCAATGCCCACGAGCGCACCCTCGAGCCCCATTGCACTGATAGACTGCCAGGGCTTATAAATAATCAGCCACATTACAGATCAGGGGACAAAAGATGAGGTCACTTGGACAGGCAAACAAGCGATATGACAAGTGGTAGTGGTCCTACCAGCGAGCAGCCAGATGGAATTATGCTCCGCACACTCCTCCTGGCGTCCATGTGCCCCAAGTTGCATGCTGCAAGCTGCAAGTCGACCAACAGACCGATCGACCGACCGACCGACCGACCGATCGAGTCAACAATATGGCAACTTAACTGACACAAATTGACAATCGGTTGCGGAATCGTTGTTGTTATTAAATCGAAATCATTAATCGCTAACGATGTCAATTCAATTTTCAGTCGCCTGCTCTCATACAAAATCGAGATGTTTCAGGCATGGTTGCTCGAACCGCGAATGCACGTGTCTTTGGCCCATTCTTATAGCTGGTGCTCTTGCTCCAGCTCTTTCAGTTGCTGTTGCCGTGGTTGGTGTTGGTGTTGGTTTTGGTTTTGGACAACAGCGCTGCTATTGAATCAAAAGCGTATGCGCACGCTGGCGAAAAAGCTGAAAAGCAAAACATAATTTTGCTGGGAACGTGTTTTCCTGTGTCGCCGACCGGAAACCCATTCGCAAACATAAACAGAACTAAAGCAGCGTCCGCAGAAAACTTATGAATGGCAGAAACTTAACGATTCAAGCGACGACTGCTTAATACGGGACGAGGCGCTAACCTGACACCTATCGAGTCAAAGTTTATTAAACCCATTTTCTTCTAGCTATTACCTATATTCAATAGCAATAGTCAGCAGATTGTCGCAAGTTGCATGTTTTCCAAATTTAAAATTAAACATTACCAACAAATCCCGTACTATTCAAGACAAGGCTTATTATATTTCTATCTACATTTAACTAATCGTGAAATGCAATTTTCTTTTTTACGTCATATACCAATTATGAATACTATATGTATTGTTCTACCTGAATAACTAACACGAGTATGTATCACAACTGCCGGTAAGCAAAACAGCAGATTCAAATTATGATTATGTATTCCCTTTTTTTATTCAAAATACATTCAGATATGCAGTCCGAGGTATTTATTCACAATATTTTGCTTTTAAGCACTTTACTGCATTCGCGAAATCTGATATTAATGGATTTCAATTCATGTTGGCATACGGCTTTTACATGGCTGCTGATATCATACATACTCGCATGTGTGCATCGCATATATACGTACTAAGTATGTATGTAGCTGTCCTAATTTGTAGTATGTATATTTATACTAAAATGTTCTGACACCCATAAATAAAAGCACTAAAGCATGCTTCAGATAATACAATATAAAGTGGTTATCTAAACTGTAATACTAAGAGTGCGGAGTAATAAGTAGATAAAGGACTGTTGATATTGAATAGCAACGCTGGAGTTTAACTTTATTTTTAGAGTAAATAATAAATACCCCATATATACGAACAATTTTCTATCTTTGAAGCAAATATCGTCATTAAATATAGGAGTGCCTATTTATATTTTCGAATTCTTAGCATATTTCATCACATGATATAAAAATCAAACATCTTTACTAAGATTATAAAGAGAAAAAATTTGATTGCTTGCTATATTATATTTGAAAATATAGGTATCCTTGCTAAAACGCCAATAACCACCCAAGGTTTAAAAAAATACCTAAAAACTTCGTCAACAGGATGCTGTTAGTTCAGAATCTCGAAACATTATGTCGCTTTAAATATTAAGGCAATCTATTTAAAAAGTCCCAAGCCAAACAAAAAGCTACAATTCGATCGGCATCGTGATTAAAATCGAAGACACAGTCCATTTAAATTCAGTAAACCCTTCTGGGCTGGCACCACATGAAAATAAGTTAACAATCGGAATTCCAATCATGCTTTTGGAAATTAAAGCCCCCCGGGCATGTGCAATGGAATTGCAGAACAATATAAGTGTAGAAACCATTATCATAGGCGCAGCAACTGATCAAAACTCATATACCGATGATCTCAACTGATCTGTCAATCCCATTTAAACGGCCAAACTTTCAAAGTAGTAGGGATCAGCCTACGAAAGGAATGTATTGCTTATGGCCTTGGATTGTTGGCCTATCGCGGGTCGGAGCTCTCCTGCAAATCAATATATTTTTTTTGCTGCCACAAAATAAAA